AACTGATACTTGCGGTATGAGGAGCGAGGGGGTGTTTCATATGGCAAAAACAGGTGTAACGTCAGGAAACCATTGGCGTTCTAATGTAGGGAGCCACCAGCTCTCATTCCGTCCGAGTATCAGATTAAAATCGACGAACAATAGGTACAAACCGACATAGCAACAATAGACAATTTTTTGCTAAGATAATCAAGCATACTCGAGTATGCTGGATTATGTGATATGTTAATTGTGTCATACTCCCCCACCATCAAATTCTGGGATAATCGAGGATCAAGAACACTCAATTTCTTCAGAGAGAACAGACCGAAAATCACCTTTTCTACATTTGAAATCGACGGAAAAATTAACTGACTAGCACAGCTAGCAACTAGCAAGCATTCCATCGAGGGCTGCGGGTGACGTCATCATTCCTTGCCTTCGGTATTGTGCTCAAAAGGCCGGCATAGACACACGTTCTTTCGCGCGGTTTATCGTGTCATCTGCAAAAACCTGTGAAAAATCATGTGCGTGAGTGAGGAGGGCTGCACGCAACGATAGAATGGGAAGGGATTTTAGACGTGCTTTCATCTGGAATGTGGCGTCAGTACTCAAGTACATGTTCACACCCGTGTCCACACGCCATTCCACGTCACGGTTTTGAGGCTAGTACGAGTAGTACGGAGACATAAACGCCGCGTGGCGAACTATCACGTTGTAAATTAGTACATGACAACATGCACTTCCAAACGACACGATAAATGACACTTTTTACCCATACACATACGGTTTTTCCTTTCCAACTGATATGCCGCGCGTAATCACGTGCTAAATCATTTGAATACTTTGTCAAGTGTATGGAACATGACGCTTTTTTTGCCACGCCGTTCTTTCGCGCGTGCAAACCGCTATATCCCAACACGCCACGATAAACCGCGCGAAATAACGTGTGTGTATGCCGACCTATAGAGTAGAGCGTGCAGAGCGGAACCATAATCACGTGACCAGCGAGCGAACAGAGCATTTGAACGCTGTATCAGAGTGCCCGAAATTTTTATAAACGAACGCGAATGAGCCTGCACCGAGTACACTTTTAAAATAAACGAACGGTTAATTCAAGCTCGGGAACTCAGATCAAAATACCGAAGGCACGGATTATAAGCTACTGATAGTGACGTCACTCGCAGGCCCAGAATTTGATGGAGAGGGAGTAGGGAAGTATTACACACAATTGACACATCACATAACCCAGCATACTCGATTATCCTCGCGAAAAATTGCCTAATAAACCGATAGGGTTTTAAAAGAAAAATTGGTACGCCCCTAGGGTTTTCAACAAATTGAAAATTATTTTTGCCTAATTCCCACGAAAAAGGTATCCCGAGTTTTTCTTGTTCTATGTTAAACGTTACGAGATAAAAAATAAAAATCAATGTATTGTTTGAAAAATCTTGTTGTTGGATACACCACTCTGTTGACAAAATAAGAGTCGCTCTAGGTCCGGTCCTGTAAAAGTGGAACTCAAACGTATTTTTTAGAAAGATGCTTGAAAAAATCGCAAACACTCTCTGAAAATTTGAACAAAATCGCTAAAGGCATTTTGAATCTAGGCAACAAGTCTAAATTTTCCGAAAATCTCAACACACACAACACGAGACGTTTGAGGACACGTACCTATGCAAAGAGTGATTGTCCTATTAGTACTCTATCTATCATAACAAAATGCTCACTTATTTCGGACTCACCCTGGAGTGCGTTTAGAAATGGAGTGTGAAGGTAGAGTAGTTGTTTGTCAGAGTAATCTGACGTCATCACTTAGAGTGCACTCTGGGGGCGCCTTTTCTGAACGTAATTGGGGTGTTGCGTTAAATGTCAACGTCAATCCCGGTAAAAACATCAGGGGTGCGTTCAAGGACGGCAATGCTAATGCCAAAACCTACTTTTCTCCCTCCGCCGGTAATGCCAAACCATGTAAGTTGGAGCCGAACTTGAACGCAAAATGCCAATTTTGGCTTGGCTGTAGCCATTCCTGGACGCAGCCCGGGGCGTTTTTCAACCCAGTCCCTGAGTGGCCTAATTTGGGCACACTCTGGGCACGTCAACTCTCGATTTCTGAACGATTCCAGCGTAAAGCCTAGTACTCATAACTGCGAAATTCGCACTTTTTTGACATTGCTTTGACAATTTGACGTTTGATACACGCATAGAACATTAAAATGTCGACACAATGTCAAAAAAATGCGAATTTCGCTCGCAGTTATGAGTACTAGGCTTAACGCTCCGAGTAAGTACCTCTTAAATTATAAATGGTTTATGGCCATTTCCACCAACTATTTTAGGGAAGCCCTAACGATAGATATGCCTTAAACTGACATTTCTCCATGTAAAAATGTGATTTTAGGGAATACTTATCGTTAGGGCTCCCGTAAGATAGTTGGTGGAAACGGCCATTAGAGTTACGCTAAGGTCACTAAGCTCTCACACCCAGAGTGCTATTTCTAAACGCAACCCTGATGTATTGGTATTTATAATTTTTGAAAAAGCACTCATGCGTTTTTAACTGAAAAAGGCACTCGTGCACTAAAATGTATTCGGGCCAATTTCCCAAAAAATTATCGATAATTTAATTTCCATTGCACTGGTTATATTATTACTATTTATAATTCTTGAATTTAATTGTCTTAATTTTTTTTTCAGTTTGCTAAAACTATATTCCATACCAAAATTCAAAACAAAAGTTAAATTGTAGGTATTTGTGTGTAGGTACCTAATAAATACACACAATAATAAAATCGATTAACTTTCCCCAGAAAGATGAGAAATTCCTTGAGACCTGGCAACGCTGTTTAACAACAAGAACACGATTCTACATTATGCTGTTTAAATATTTTGAGACCCCTCAATCCCTCTCATGTCCACTTATTCGCCCATCGGTCGTTGTTTACACAAAATGCCATACATTTGTTGGTGGCAGCACTAATCAATGATGTGTTTTCCGATATCAACCGTCGCCGAAAAAAGATAGGAGATGGTATTTGCATTTATTTGAGAAAGATGAGAATAATTTTTGTCGCAAGCCACGATTATTTCTATAGAGGTTAGGCATCTTCCTCTACTACCTCAATCAACATCAACGCTATAAGCACAGCTTTCCTCGATTTCAAATTAAATGAGTACTAAAGTCTTTTTTTTTTTTAAATAATTCCCCAAGTCAAAAATTTAGTAACTATGTTGGCAACACAAGCCTTTTCTACATAAAGAATTTGAAAGCATTGACAATTTTACATTGTATTGCCAACATAATGTCATTTTGACTTTTATCTTTAAAAAAAAAAACAGGCTTTACATGCTATTTGTTTAAACGACATCGTTCTTAGAATTAATCGATAAATCTTGCTTTTTTGAATAAGTACAATAAAACTCTCAACATAGATGCATTCAGAGCTGGGATCGTTACTTGAAAAAAGTAACGCGTTACTTTACAGTTACTTTTGCTTAAAAATAACTCGTTACTCAAAATTTACAGTTACTTTCGAATAATGATAACTTTATTTTCGTTACTTATTGGAAAGTAACGCGTTACTATAACTTCTTTACTTTGAAAGTAACTTTTCTACTTTAGAAGTAGTTCGTTACTTAAAAGTAACTCGTTATTTGAAAGTAACCCGTTACCTCAACGCGTTAGTTTGAAATAAAGCGTTACTTTTAAATAAAGCGTTACTTCAAAAATAACTATTTACGTCGAAAATTGCGTTATTCCATTCCTCAATTTAACTCACCAACACAGCAGTCCAAACAATCAAATAAGACCTTTACGAAATGCCAATATGTTTTTAGTTTGTAAGTCCGACTATGTGGAAGAGTTTTGTTGCAAAATTCAAATGGATTAAGGATTAAGCGACTAAATAGAGAACTTGGTTTTGGACAAACCTGTTTTTTGAAGCGTCCCAGTGTCTGCATATAGCTATGTAGTGTCTTTAGAGCAGAGGCGGCGCGTGCCACGCCCAAAAACGATTATTTTGAATTTTCAAAACAAATTTTCTGTACTACCCACATTTTATTTGACATACAAAGTTTTTGGATTATTTATTTTCTTTTTTCTCAAACGTCAATTATTTGTAAAAAAGATAAACAAATTGAGAGAACTCGTTACTTTCATAGTAACTAACTAACTAGTAACGCGTTACTTCCATATAAACGCGTTATTTTCATAGTAACACGCTACTTTCATAGTAACTCGTTACTTTAACAAAATAACGATCTGCAGTTACTTCAGGAAAGTAACGTCGTTTCAGTAACTCGTTAAAGTAAAGTAACTATTTTTTGTCGTTACACCCAGCTCTGGATGCATTTTAGACGTAAACAATTGTGTTCCTGGAATTCTGGCCGGGTTGTCGATGCAATTTCGTAACAATGAAAGGTTTTCTCACATACCCAATAAGAATCGTAATAAACCAACTTAAACTAATAAACTACGTAATACTTATAGCGAATTGGGAATTCTCTTGAAGAATTTGTTTACTTGAATACCTACAATAGAATTCGTGAAAACCCGTCTTGCATGTTTCGCTCATTTGAAGGTATTTACAATATAAATTGAATTCCGTGAATAGTCGCGGTAGGGTTAGACGTAAACAACTGGATTCGTAGACTAAAGATATGCCAGAAAGTAAATTTTCCTGCTCGTTTTCATGTTATCCTGATATGCGACAGGTAAATTTTCAGAATAACAGAAATGTGCGGTTATTCATGAGGCTAACACTAACAGCAGTTGATCATTTGGGAATAGTCTTAGATGCTTACATGTGATAAATTTTTGTAAGCAAACTTGGGTCACGATGGGTTAACTTCGGTTAGATAACTGGAAATTTTCACCGGTTGAATTGAAATAAACCGGTGAAAATTTCCAAATATGTATCAGGATTAGAAAAATGCGAGGAAGTACATACATTTACCCAATGTCCCCTAAGCGTCTTATGTAGTTATATGCCAACAATAAAACATTTTCTTCTTTTTTATAGGGACAGGATAGAATTATTCATAGACGAAAACAAAGCCCTTATGAAACGAATGTATGGAGAATTTATCATGCCGGATTACGCCGATGAGGAGGGGTCGGAGGGGCCGGAAAGGCCGGGGGGGGCTCCATATCCAGGACCGATCAAGCAAAAGCGCTCCGTAAAACCGGGAGTTCCAGATTTGCACTTCGATCCAGGTCCGGACCCTTCGGGCGACGACAAGCCCCACCGCAAACGGACTATCAGACAAAGTTTCAAGAACATGAACTTCAGTAATAACAAGAACAATGAAAGCGGAAGGTAATTTTATGGCTGGTAATTGTAACAATTTTTAAAATTAATTGGGAATTGTTCCGTTTGGATGGGATGGCGATTTTATTTTGTGTATTTTAGGGTTGACGCCTGCGAAAGTAAACTGGAAATTGTGACTCCTTATTGGGCTTCGAATTCGGCCGGAAAAGTCAGAGCTATAGTGAATACTCAACATTTTGAACAAGCTATTCATCAAGAAGTTTGTGCGTAAGTATCAAAACAATTTGTAGTTTTTAACTTGATTTTACTTATCAATTGAAAGCTGCTACAAGCTTCAATTATTGTAACTATTGAAAAATAAGTATAAGCTTTTCCGCTGTAGTTTGTCTGGTAATTAGAAAAGTTTAATGATATAAGATCTGGTTACCTGGCAGGTTATTCAAGTTCTGAATTTCTATATATTGGTATAATAAGACTCCTGCTACCTACTCTTTCACTATCCTACCGACTGCGCCAATTAAGGGTTTTTTTTGGAGAAGGATACATTTAATGAAAATAATTTCATTTTTCTTATAGAAAATCGTCAACGAAAAGATGTACCAACGACTGTGGCTGCGAACAAAAATACAAATGGCACCGTCTCCTCGCTTACGATCCCGATAATGATTGCAGAGGTATTTTCATGGATTGGTTCCTATTTCCGTCGTGTTGCGTGTGCAGATGCAATCCTTAACGTAGTCGATTATAATTTTTGTCAAGAATAAGAGTAGAAACTTGCCATCGAGCGTCCAATATTATTGGACGAAAATGTGATAAAATTTAACCTAATAATAATTGCGTTTATGTATTTTTAAGTTTTAACCAACATTAATTATGTAAACGCAGCCTTATTTTTTAGGCATTTACTCTAACTAGTGCAATTCTTTATCCCAAAAACAAACATGACTACTGCAATATTGTTTCAGTTTTTATGAAAACACCTCTCAATCTCAAATCTGTCATTGTAAGTGAATAATTATATTCTATACTTTTAAAGCTATACCCGTACAAGACTTTGTGGTGTAAATTTCTTTTTCCAAAACTTCTATGAACTATTTTCTACCAAAAACAAAGTTACCACCTTCAACACTAGTCTTTGTTAGTGATTCATATGAAATTTTTATTGTGAAGAAAATAAGACCAGGTTGCAAACGAACCAAAAAATGTAGGAACTTAATTGAAATTTATTTTAAGTTACCATTTTCATTATATGTACATAGGATATTAATTAACTAAGATCATGACCTTAAGTTTAGAAATGAAAACCAATAATTAAGACTAAAATTTCTGAAATTAAATCAATTAGGATTTTATCTTTTTTGTTTGTATTTGTCACTTATGTAAGTATTATTAGATAGGAAGATTCTCTTTCAAGGAGAAGTAATACATTAATCTGATTAATGCTGATGTTTAAAAAATTGCTCAGAACAAAAATACAATGTCATTGAGCCAATCAGATCAATTTGCCACTTCTCTAGCTATAGAATTAGTGCCTTAATAGTAAGTGGACTTTGTATTTTTACTATTTCTATTCCAATAAAAATCACAAAATCTTCCACAGATTACTTGATTTATTTATGATTTTTGTTGGAACCTGGTATGTAGATAATAAACGATTAGGTACTTTTTAATGTAAAATTAGATTTAGGTGAGAGAAAACTCTGCTGCCATTTTCTTTTGTATTTGTACTTGATAATAAATTATTTTTAATGATTGCAAGAAATATGTTTTTGATTTTTCATTTTTCTTCTGGTTGCGAAGTTTTAGATAGAGGAGAAAGTGATGTATTGTGATCACATCAGCTGAAGGAATTGGCGATATTTGAAATGAAGGATTTATAGCGACAGATGTGCATACATTTCATGAAACATTATTTAGGTGGGTACATAAAAATTATTTTATATTTTTTTCAAAGTTTGAAGTTGCTCACTGCTCAGGAATAAAGAAAATTTTTGATAGAGCATCAAAATTCAATTTTTTCATAAAAATTGAACTGATGGTATGCAAAAGTAAATAATGGGTGATATTCCTTTTTTTATACCCATTCCAACGAGCTATCACAAGACATATCTTTACATTAAAAAAAAAGTTGGGGGTGGTAAATACCCTAAGAGAGGGGTAAATTCCATAAAAAGGCCAAAACTAAAAATAAAGAGACAGGTTTTTTTTAATTTTTCCAGAAAATAAACAGGCTTTCTAATACTAAATTTATTCCATTTGAAAATTCCACCCTGTATATTGTGTCTTTTGCGAGCCAGTGCTTCATGGTCGTATATACAGGGTATTCCGAAATTATTGAACCAAATTGTTATGGCATATTCCACGTTGAAAATAAGCCCCAGTTACCTATATAACAGGTTCGCGGACAGTACGGCCGAAGCCGTCATATTCTTCTCCCTTGCTTGGGACATGACGTCTATAGCAGTCACCCTAATTTTCTTCTATAAACAAATAACGGCTCTAGCCGTCTTTGATCCCATATAGCTACATGTATTTTCAATTTATTAATCCTGCCACAGTGTCTATTCACCTCAAAATTATCCAGTTCACGGCGAAAAAACCACACCAAACATGGGAATACAAAAATTGACATTCTAATGGCCGTTTCCACCAACGCAAATTTAAGTTTACTTAACGTTAAGTACCGCTTATATTATAATTTTTGTTGTGATCCTTCAGTGTTTTGCCTTGGTTAAAACTACTTTTGTTTTTGGTTTGAAACTTGTAGCTTTATTAGGTAATGGAATATAGAATGAAATTGAACTACAGCAAAAGTAAGACTTATTTTAGAGAGAGTTTTAACAAAATGTGTTACTACGACTGAAGCTGTCTTAAGACTGTCTTCTTGCTTCACTAGATCTCTTACAAATCGACCTTTACATCCCTTCTAAAACCTACATAATTACAACTGGAAAACCCTAAATAAATATTGGCAATAAATGACAGTCTGTTCGCCCAAAGAATGACCATTAAGGATATTTGGGAATTTTGGGGTTTATGGTGGACAAATGTTTAATTTATTTACATACAATATCTTTGGGTTCTTTAACAGAAAGTCTGGGTCATATAATAATATTGCTTTCGGCGACGGCGAGACATTATTTGGGAAAGTATTCGAGGGTCGTAAAAGGTACAATGTCATGATATTATGGAGGAATATGACACTTCCCCCCTTGAAAAAAAAGAAATTTTCATAAAGAAATTTCTTCAAAACAAATCCTTTAAGAAATACAATTATAAAAAAAACTAACGTAAAATAATATGAAGCTTAACTTAATATAAAGGTAGGAATAAAAAGGAAAGAGGAAAAAAAAAAAATGTAAACTAACTTATACCTAAGAATATACAAACATATCTTTTACTAAGACATTTTTATGGACGGTCTTGGGGTGACTGATCTTCGCATGGACATGGAATTCGTAGTGGATGTGGTTGCTTCATTGGAACTTAGAAGGTTATTTAGTTCAATCCCTTCGCCCATTTTTGTTCTGGCTTCTTCTTCTAGAATTCTTGATATGTTTTGACTTGTCCCTGGAGTGGTATTTATATTTGTATTGAAAAGCTTAATACAGCAGGAATCCGATATGTGCTTTGGGCTTTTAGTACAACAAAACATACTTTTAATGCATGATATTAATCCGCACCACTTAAGAAAATTGTACACTATTACCAAAAGAACAACTGACGCGATAAAAGAAATAATGATAATGAACCAATGAGAGTGTTGAATAATAAATGGCTTCTTCAATTCTTCATCCAGCAATTGGTCCAGTTGTCCAAGTTTGTGATTCGCAAACTGTAAATCGTCCAATTTGATATTGGAAAGTCTTATTGGTTGTAGTGTGATTGGTGTGTTGTTGAATCTGGCTTCTTTGGCATAGCAGCAATCGTCAAATGCAATATTGATATCTGAAATTTGTTTTGAAATATTCCGTGTAATGATTCCTGAGCTTTCCAAGATAATATTTTGAGTATAGCCTCTGCATTTGGGTTCCAAACTTAACAGCCCTGTTGATGCAATTTTTATATCTTCGATTGGAAAATTATCACAAGCCAGAGTAAGCTGTAAGGGCGTCGATAGTACGAAAAGCCAAGAGTTGTCGCTCAGTGGATGCCATATCTCGAAGTCTGCTTTGGAAGTAACGGTATGACAGTCAGCCGGGATTTTGGTAGAAAATGATGTAAACAATGCAACTTCGCACTTAGGAGGTTCTTGAATCCTTGTAGCTTGAGTGTTTTGGCAGATGAATTCCTCTTCTGTGATCCTTGTACACTTGGTAAGGTCTTTCATTTGCACATAACTAACCTTACTAATACTTATCAGCAGGTAAGGAAAATCAGGTAGGATATAGGAATGAATATCAGAAAAATTATGAGGTGTTGGAAGTGGCTATAATTTGAACAGATTGTAGGTCATTTCGTCAGTCAATGGAATTTCAATTGCAAAAATAATTATGTTATCAGAATGAAAAACTTTCAGTTTACTGATCTCAAAATATTTGTAAATAATTGAATAAGATATTGGGAACGGTAATTGAAGTCCGTTGTTCAATTTGATTTCCGAAAGTACATTTAATAATTGTTTTGGTGTTATAACTTTCGGATGTAGGATATTATGTCTGGCCATTGTTATAGCTGAGATTAATAAATCATATTCTTCGTTCAGATCTTCTAATATTTGTGTGAGTAAGGCAATATGTGAACTGATGACAAGTTTCAGTTTGTTTACGTGAATACGTTTATTGGTATCTGCTGAGAAGGAGTTGAAAATTTTAATATTAGAGTTTAGAGTTTCTTGATTAGATTTAAAATTTCGTATACTAGAATTAAAATTAGATATCGTACTAGAAATTATGCCAGTTTGTTGTTTCATCAAAAGTTGTGTATTTCTATTACTTTGAATTAGAGTTTTTATCGATTTGTCATAAAATTTAGAATCATCGGCATCAGGCATGCCAAATAGCCAATTGAATGCGTAAGAAGCACCATCAAAAATTCCTCTTTTAGTCTTTTTCGTATTAGTACCGATTATTTCGCTGACAACTTCAGATTTTCCGAGCAATTTATTAAACCGAGATTGGACGACTTTTTATTATCTTTGCATAGAAAATTTTCAGATTCAACAATTTCATTACTATAACATAGATCGAATGACTTTTTCAATAATCCAGAAATAAATTTTATTTTCTTTTAATATGCAGTTACATTAAGATGAGTAAATAGGACAAATTTAGAATTTGAAAGTTTAACTTGGCCAAGATTATTATAATAAAGACCGGCATGATCGTGGAGATTAGTAATGTGATAATTATCGCCTCTAACACAAACGGAAATGGAAGTTAGTACAATTAGGAACAGTAGATTAGCGTTATTAATCATTGTTGCTTTGATCTGAAACAAAAGGTTTTATCATATTAGTATGATACGTAATATTTTTTTTTCCTATTTGTAGTTGAATATTATTGTTATTGAAAACTTTAGTGACTTTATATAGGCCTTTAAAGTTAGCACTCAGTTTTTTATTTAGACCAGGGGAAATATGTTTATTTACAATGTAAACCATATCTACTATTTTATAATGATTTTTTTTCATTTTGTTATCGTAATAAGTCTTCGATTTTTCTTTTGATTTCAAGATGTTGTTACGTGCCTGTTCTTGAGTTATGTTAAGTTTGAGTTTTAGGTTGCCTATGTAATCGTCATATGAATATTTAAATTCGGGTCTGCTAGTTATAGAGCTTGGCAAAAATGGTTTGGATCCAAATAATAGTTCATATGGTGTATAGTTAGTAGAAGAGTGAGTATGTGTATTGTAAGCGAACATTGCAAAAGGTATAAATTCGTCCCAGTTGTTTTGTTTGTCGTTAATGTAGTGTTTTAAATAATCTTTCAAAGTAAGGTGTGAACGCTCCAAAGCGCCATTAGATTCAGGGTGGTAGGGTGTGCTTGTGACATGCTTAGTTTTAAATAATTTTACGAGTTCTTTTATTAAATTGGACATAAAATCAGTACCTTGATCAGATAAAATAGTTTTGGGAATACCGAATAAAGTTATAAATTTGCATAATTCATTTGATACTGTTATTGCTTCATGATTCGGTATAGGAATGGCATACGAATATTTCGTTAAATCGTCTTGCATCGTAAGGAGAAATCTAGATCCGTTTTCCGTAATTGGAAGAGGTCCAACTATATCAATAGCAAGTTTTTCGAAAGGCTTTTCGCTAGTTGTTGTTATCATCATAGGAGCTTTACTGGGTTTGAAATTTGTTTTGTTTATTTGACAAGAAGGACATTTTTTTATATATTTTTTTATGTCAGTTTTCATGTTCTGCCATTTATAACGTTCTTTTATCCTTTTATATGTTCTTGTAAAACCTGAATGTCCTGCTAGTTTTGAGTCGTGATTTTCTTTTAGAATTGCGGAAATTTCCTCTTTTGAACTAATAATATTTTTTTCTGAACTAATAACACATATTTTTATATTCGTGTCCTTGAAAAGATAGTGTATCATTTCAAAATACATTGGTTGTTTTAAATTTGGAGAATTTTTCGTTATGTCAGGTAAATAGAAGTATTTTATATTATCTCTGATTAGTTCAGTACGTAAGTTCCGGAGTGAATAAAAAACGTCTTTATAAGAAATATTTTCAAAATGAAAAGTCTTCACGAACATTAAATAGGATTTTTTATTGTTATTTTGTAACTTATAAGTTGAATAT